CAATTCTTTAAAACAAAAGCAAAAAAAACAGGGCATAAAAGCAAACAAAAACACATGCACTATTATTATATATATGAGAAATATATATTATATACTATCATATATGCTATTTTATAGAAGTTAATTGTTATTTTATATATACATATATGTATACAACTTTAATTTCTCATACTTTTTCCGCTGAGTATCCGCTCCTGGTCACTACCTTTAAAACAAAAGCAAAAAAAACAGGGCATAAAAGCAAACAAAAACACATGCACTATTATTATATATATGAGAAATATATATTATATACTATCTTATATGCTATTTTATAGAAGTTAATTGTTATTTTATATATACATATATGTATACAACTTTAATTTCTCATACTTTTTCCGCTGAGTATCCGCTCCTGGTCACTACCAGCAGCAGAATATTTGATGGGACTGACATTAGGGTCTCTCCAGCAGCGACAGGCACTCAGGTAAGAGAGCAGCTGGGGATACATCAGGCAGACGACAGAAGACATCAAAACATTTGGGAAAGATAAATCACGTCTCAAGCTATGTAGCAGTATGTTTAAACTTGTATAAATTAGGTATTTTAGAAATTAGGAGGTTCTCGTGAGAGTTTAAAAAGCTAATAGTGTCACAAGGGATCATAAATCAATTGTTTGGGGGGGGGGAGGGCAAGTCAAAAGCTGCATTAAGGTTTAGCTCTTGCTTCACTTTGCAAGAAGGAAAAGCTCAAGATCTGCAGCTCCCAACAGAAGGATGCAGCTACATGGAAGATGGTAAAAAATGACATAGATCCATCTACGCCTTAATGCACAGCACCTACTCTCACACAGCCACATGATTTTCTACATTTTTTTTATCAGCTGGGAATAGAAAATGCAGTTCATTGAAGTTAACTTCAAGTTGCTGTAGCAATTACCATTAAAAAAAAAAAGTTTGCTTTCTCATTAATAAAGATTCCATGGCAAACAGAAGGGACAAAGAGGGACTTTCAATCACCGGCGGGATGTTGAACAGTGCCTGTGCACAACTAGCATTGTTAGCAAATAATCTCCATTATCCCCCTTCAAAAAATCAAGCCCACATGTCGGAAAAGGGATGCTTCAACAGAAGCAACGCCAAAATTACGCAAACTCAAGGGATCGCTGTCTGCAGCTCCCGTTTCCAGGAGGATGAAGCACAATAAATAGCAAACGAAGAAAATCTGTCATGTGCAATGTTATATTAAACAAGGCATTACCCTGCAAGTCACAGGGTCATCGACCGGTCCTGCAGCATCATCGACCTTCCCCATCACCAAACAGATGCACGGCAGCGTTTATTTTTTCTCCCCTCTCCAAAATTAGAAGAACTCAGAGCATAACAAACATCTCCGGGCTGGGACATGGGATGCTGCAAAGCATTTGCTAATAATTCGGCTCAAACATAATTGCAATTACCTACAGTTAGTTGCAAGCACTGCTCCCTCTGATAAAAAGCCCTTCTTTTAGCCACTAATATGTTTTCCAAACAAACTATTCACATTAAAAATTTCAATACTGGTTATCTAACCAAGGACTAAATTGAAGGGGGCAATTTCGATGAGACGTGGTGGTGTTTGCATGGAAAACTCTGCCTTTGCAGAGCACAGACTGGACCTTCCCCAAACCCAAAAGTTAGTTCTGCCTAAACTCGAAGCCACCGTTGCAGAGCTCACAGACCTGGTGAGACATCGTCCAAGCCTTCCCCAAACAGCCCGGGAGAAGTTTTCTCCCCCAAGACACCCCAAAATTGGAGGACGTGAGCTGCACAGTGAGCACCATCGCGTGAGGATTGTGGTCACAGTCATGAGACATCACATGCTGCTAAATAAATAAGGGAATTTCAGGGGAAAAAAGGAAAAATTAAGAAAAACAGTGTTCATGGCTGTATATGCCTCCACCACAGAGCTCCTGAGCAATCTGTTCATATGCGATTTTTTACAAAGCAGCCATTAATAGCAAGTTTGGGGGTTCCCTCGTACCATATTTGAGTCTCTGGCATCTCACACAGCAAAGAAATGAGTTAATCCAGAAATTTGGGTCACAACACCTCCAAATCTGCCTGGTTTTCACATGCAGAAAAATGAAGGAGGCACCTCCCTCCTCCATGCAAAAGCACCACAAGAAGATTCATTGTAAACTGAAAAAAAACCCAACAAACTTCAGCAATGAGCGCAATCAAAGTCCCTTACAGAAGAAGAAAACATTTAATTTTACAGAAATAAGGACTACGGCCACCTACAGCGCAACAGGGTTGGAACAAAATCCTACAGCACAGCTGTCTCCTGCACTCCTTTACTCCATGCACCAGATGATGGAGGAGTCCTACGGGGCCGGGGGGGG